CTGCACAATCCGTCTTATACGTAGAACAAGTACGCATGTGTGGCAAATTATTGATATGAAAATCATAAATTCAGCAGAAAATAAAAATAAATATATATTATGTAGTTTTGATCATGGTAGAGTTACATCTAAAACAGTTCAAACTAATTAAAAAGTACTTCACAAACGAAACACCAACAAAAACGATCTATGTAAATCAGATTTTTTAGCCATGCGTATTCACAGCTTCCCAAAGCAAGTTCTTCAACACAGGATTAGTCACATCTCTAGCTTGAATCGCCGCATTCTTCAAAGTCCTAATCGTCCACACATTAGCTTCCCACCACGAAAGACTCCTATAAGGAAGATTATGTTTCTTACAAAGCTCCTTAACCACCGGCGATACTGTCCGGAGATGACAACGAGGAAGCCGAGGAAACAAATGATGCTCTAACTGAAACTGTAATCCACCAAAGAACCAATCCATATACGATCTACACGATATATCAAGCGTACCGGCGGTTTGTTTCTCGAACCAATCGTTTCCGTTTGGTGGACCGGTATAAACATCTGCTGCGAAATGGTTTAAACAGAATTGAACGTGTTGAATCGCTGTGACGGCGAAGCTAACGAAGACGAAGATGAATCTCTCTGACCAATTTGGAAGAAACGAGACTAAGAGAGGGAACCATGTCCAGAAAACTAAAATTCCGGCGATGTTTAAGGCTGGATCTGGGACGTGGCGTTTCGAGAATAGCAATAGGAATGTTTGTATGAAGAGATTGATTCTTCCGACGCACATTACTGGGTAAAATGTCCAGTGTTGGTAGCTGATTAAGAATCGAGCTAGAGGATCGAATGTTAATTTCCTGCCATAGAAACGTGACGTCATCGAATTGAAGAATTTGGTAGAGACGGCGAAGATTGGGATGTGTTGTAGATCTGGATCGTGATCAAGGCTGTTACAAGCCATGTGGTGAGCGTTGTGCGTCCATTTCCACCACGCGATTGAGATTCCGGTGAGGCAGTTACCGGAGAGAAGCTGGATTAGTTTGTTACACGGTTTGGTTGACGTCACCGTGTAATGACCGGAATCGTGGCCGACGTAAGCGCTCTGGATCCAGAGGAGACCGAGTAAGACGGCGGAGATGAGGTGAGCCCAGATGCTGGTACACGCCAAAACGCCGTAGAGAACCGCCGCGAGCATCACGCCGACGCACGTGAGCGTGTAGAGGGTCACGTGACCTTTTTTGTCGAAGAGGCCGCGTTTGGAGAACTCGGCGGCTAATCGGCGGTAATCACGTGACACGTCTGACACGTGGAAGTCTCTCACGTGATAGCCATTGTGAAGCTTTTCGAGGTGGTGCCATGCGGTTCCGGGATGGTAAGCGATGAACGCGTCGGTGACATCTTGGCCGGCAAGATTGAGAATCGCTGCTTCGCCTCCGGGATGAGATTTAACCCAATCGGAAACGTCGTAAACTTTACCTTGAATCGAAATCCATAAATCTCCAGGTTTGTTGTGTTTTTTCAAATCCTCGCTTGTAACGTATCTCTTCTTCGTTTGATCCGCCATTGTTGAACTAGAGAAAGAGAGATTTAGTTCCTAGATCCAAAATCAAGAAAAATTACAGAACCCAATTTGAGAAAGGTTGCAAATGCAAAACCTTTCTCTCTATGGATTCGTAACTCACAGATTTTGAATCGATTCTACGCCTTTTGTTCCTTATATTTGTGTTTTTTGGTTTGTTTACTGTTTTGGAATCGATGTTCGAGTCTTTGACACATGTTTTATTTTTAGAACCGATTTAAATGGTTAAATTACCTTTTATTAATCCGTTACGTTAACTCTATTAATGGAATTGTTGATTACAGAAAAACTCCATTGACAATGTTGTCTTACATGTTATTATGTCAGTGTATCATTAGTTTGTGTGGGTCTATCAATTTCTTTCAGTATCCTCAAAATCAACGTCAAAGTCGTCAATAACAGAGAATAAAATCCCAAAAGCAGAATAAAGTGGTAACGTACGTTACGTTTTTAGTTCTCAACTTTAAAAATTTGTCTTAGCAGATTTTTGTGATTCAATGAACTTAGGCGGATTCAAAACCTTCTGAATGGGCTTATATATTTTAAAATGGGCCTAACTGTATCAATTTAAAGGCCCAATTATTTCATAAGCATCTTCTCTACCTCGCGCGCTCTTGTTATGCTTTTGCCGGCGTCGGAACTCGCCGATGTCTCCTCCGTAGAAATTATTTTAACTGTAAGTCTCAATTAGTCTCACGATTATCAACTTGCACCTTCGTAATGATTTATTGTCTATTAGCTAACTTCTAATTATTCATTTTTGTCTTCGTTGCTCTCACATTAGGTTGTGGAGCTGTTTTGGGGTTTTCTGGTAAGAGACTCTCCGAGATGAATCCGGCGAATTTTCAGCCTCCAAATCCTCCGTTCCACTGGGCTCCGATGTTACCTCCGGACCCGCCTCGTTGTGGTATGTTTTGGACTCCGAAGAACATAACCGATCAGCTCAAACAACTCCAAGATACGCTTAACCTGGCTAAATCAATGTAAGTAAGGCCACATGAAATTTTATTTTTGTGTTAATGAATCGATTTGAGTATCGGAGTTTCGATTTCAGGGTATAGTTATAGATAGTGAATCACAATCTAGTTCACTGTTGGTGAATTCTTATAAGTTGAGGTATATGTAGGGAGATGGAACTGGAAGCATTGAAGATGATCAAAGATGCTAAAGGTTCAGTGGAAATTGTAGAAAAAGGTTCAGGAGTAGAGTGTTTGAGATATCTAGAAGCTATGAAGATGGATTTGGGACAGCAGGAGATGCTTTCAGTGGAAGCTGCTAACTCCTTGATGTCTACCGTGAGATCACAGCTTGAGCCTTTTAGGTTTGTTGTTGATGAGAATAGTCCATGGGAAGAGAAATCTGCAGCAGTAAGATTGACTTGCAAAATGAACAAATCGAAAAGGAACAAACTGTGGAAGAAGCGAAAGAGACGCTGTGTTGCAGAGATGCGTGCTAAGGTGGATTTCTATTTATCTTATATTGCAGTAGTTGAGTTATTAACTCTATCATCCTGTTTAAATGGTTCAGGAGCCTGAGAGATTTGAACAAGCTGATCGAGAGGCCGATGAATGGAGGGAAAAGGAAATGGCCAAGGACATGGCGAATAGAAAGGTTATAAATATCACTGTGTGGAATTCATAAGCCGCTAAACACATAATATATGTTCCTCGTTTTGGTATCTGACAGGGTCTAATCTGTTTTTAGGTTGATGAGATGAAGGCAATTGAGAAGATCAAGGCAAAACGTGAGCGAAGGAGACTAGAACCCGAGGTGAGACTTCTAAAGCCATCTCAGACATTATAATGAAAAATCTTGTGTAATTCCTTTTTGAGTATTTATTTCCGGTTTGCTTATCTTAAACAATCTCTTGGTTTCAATATTTCAGCTTGAACTAGCCCTAATTGTTGAGGAAATGCAAGAGTTACGTTCCCTAAGAATTGAAAAACTAAAGAAGCAAGGTATGTCAATAACCTGAAGTAGTATAATGCTTTCTGATATCAGAGTCTGACTTAAGTAAACGGGTTATATGGACACTATGCAGGACATTTCCTTCCCGAAGAAGATGACAAGTTTTTCGAGAGTGTTCGTGCTGCGGTGGAGCAAGAGGAAAACCAAGCTCAGTCCCTAACCAACACAGAGACCGACGATAATGTCATTGCCTCTGAGGAGGACACTACTCTCACTACCAGTAACAAACCCAACAAAGACACAGATAAAGATAGCAATACTATTGCAGCTTCTTGTGAAAAGACGATGAAAGCTCCTGAAAATGGTTGCGACAATATATCGAATTTACCAGTCGACTTCTATCACTACTACTACGGAAGCAATTTCGACATGGGTAAACTTATTGAGGTGTGTTTTTATTTGAAATCCCCATCACTTTTATCTCTTATTTAAAGAAGTTATTCAGCTGGTTTATCGTTTAAAAATACAGATCAGAAGAGAATGGGATGCATATCTGAGTCCCGGAGGAAGGTAAGTTATCAAAGTAATATTTCATAATTTAGACAAGATTTTGATGTTTGGCTCTTAAGAAAAGGTGTTGATTTTTATATACAGCCGGATTCCTGGTCACTGGGTGCAGCCGTCGCCACCAGCTAATGAGATTTGGGCTTCTTGTGTTGTTAATACTCCCAAGAGAGATCTTAGTTAGTAGCTGTTGGGAATTTAGGATACAGGTTTCAGCCAGCACCACTCAAGATCATGAGATTTGGTCATTTGTCTCTGTTTTGAAACAGAGACAGATCACAAAGTGATTAATAATTTATAAACAGAACCCTACTTGAGCTTAGTAGTCCTCAGTTACAATTTCATTGCTGAAGAGATAATGTGTTATTGCAGAGCCAATTCTTACAGGAATTAGCCTAATCATGTTTCCCATATGTTCAAGTTCACATTTAAAATACGTCATCTGTCACTTGAATTTCCACCTATATAATCAACTTCAATGTGTTTTTGAATCATGTTAATTTTTCGAATTTATAATCTGGTAAGAAATCCATTGTAGAACATCAAAAACGGTCCTCACGTCATCTGATAACGTTTAATAACTGCCTTAGAGATTTAGCTGTTCCGTCGATTTAGTTAAGACATTTTTTTGTTCAGATTATTGATGACTAAAAAAGATGTGGGGAAGATGATTGTTGAGCTATTCAATAGACGATGAATCACAACTGCCCATCTGCCCCAAATTGATATTGCAAAGAATTCTTTCGTGAAAAGTGCATTTAAACGCACTTAGCCGATACACACACATCTTTGCTTTTCATTGTTTTCAACAGTTCTGTCAATGTTCCAGTAATTGATCGATTAACCATACATAAACTTCCTCGTTTCATTAATAAGCGTTAACATTAACTCAATTCTTCCCGTCAATGTGAGTAATAATGAAATTGTTACAGATCTCGTGAAAGAATTAAATAAAAAGAATTGTGGGGAAGATGATTGTTGAGCTATTCAATTAACAAAATGAATCACAACTGCCCATCTGCCCCAAATTGATTTCGCAGAGAAATCTTTCGTACAAAGCGCATTAGATCGCACTAAGCCGATACACACAATCTCTGCTTTTTTTACAAAACCAACAAAGAAATTTCATATAAAACAAGTATACACCAAAAACACAAGACAATCCACAAGAAGATAGATCATCAAAGAGCTCTTGGAGACTCGATCTACGAAGGTTAAATAAATTGTTAGAGAAGCCTCATTTCATGAGTTTACTCGCTTCCCTGCTGGGTCCTTCGCTTTTCTTCTATTTTCACATTTTAATACCAACAGAATTTAATCGAAAACTAAATCCATAAGGGATGAAAAACCGAAATCTGGAATTGAAACCATAGATCTCGGATAAATCCACCAATCTCCGATTGTGAATTTCCGAAGGTAAACTTGGCTTGAAGACGCATTGATTAAAGCGTTTCACCCATAGGTCCTTCGTTACCTAATTTTTAAATATGCGATAACGAATACGATGCTCAGCGAATACGAACCATAATATAATCGGACATCAACTCGCGAGACGAGATTCGCCCCACGATCTGTTATATTTCCCGATATTAACTCTTCATCGCATCGCTCAATACAGAGAAAAACCAACACGATAATCAAAGATATCAATTAAAATTACGAATTTGAAAGCTAAGTAAAATCGCAGAAACGGCGAGGAAGAAGATGCGCTATAAACCCTAGATTGAGCTATGGAAGTTGATGTAACTTTAGATAAGTTTATATAGGGCATGTATTATTAGGGTTAATGCGACGTATCATAGCCGTTAGAATTCTAAATCAACGGATGTGGATTCGGCCCATCTTTTTGTGAGTGAGGCCTATATTGGGCCTTTAATTTTAACCAGAATGAGTTTAATAGAACCACCGATGACCCGACCCGTCCGATAAGTTGACCCGCCAACTGAAATCATGAAAATCATTTGCTAAATCCAACTTTTTGGACATAGCTTTGTTTTTTGTGTGTGTACAGTATATGTTTGTCTGTGTGTTTGATATTATGTAACCTTTAATATTGCAACTAGTTTAAATCTTGAAAAAGTTCATATTTGATGTGTGTTCTAATTCATGTGACAGATATACCATAAGTCAAATTCTTGGTGGTTTTATTTATACAATGAAAGATGTCTCTAATACATGTTGATATCGATTTTATGGTTGTACATAGGTGAAATGTCATGGAGAATTCACAATCGATTTTGAACATTTTAAAGAACTCAGAAGTTTTACTACTACTTAATAAAGCATAGTCATGACTACTACTCGCATCTGAACTAAAAAGCCATTACCATATATTAATTCTCAAAAAGATTGTGTAAAATGCTTAAACACATGTGAAATTTTTTCTGAATCTCTTTAGTATCGTCGAAATTAACCTTTCATTCCTCCAAAAACTTGTTCACATCTTTCAACCATAACACGTACTTTCGGGTGTCCGTGGTCATGTAGTTGTACAAGGAAAATTTTGCGCTGTAATCAAATATTGCACACAAATAACTGTGTCTGTAATCTTTATTTCTGCAAAAGGCCATGAAAGAAAAAAACAACATTATAACCTTTCTTGGATCATGCCTATCTATATATACAACCTAAAACTAATTTGCAGTTATTATATGGATTTTGATTCACAAAGCTTACTTGGAATCAGACAACAAATCACACGGCCGTTGATCCTCCCAATAATTCCCTCGATTAATCACAGATACATCAGGCATGGAAGAACCATGATCAATAACCGTGCACCTAAACTTGAGGCGGAGTCCACTGATCTTCTTGGTATAATTCACAGTTAGTGGAAAAACAAATCCAAAATCTTCATAATCATAGGGCATGCCTGCTACAACTATAATATGTTCCCCTTGATAGTCTCTAGTCAATTTCACAGTCTTACCTCCATTATCTTCAATTGTGTACGGGTTTATTCCTGGAGTCGGCTCATCATCCTGGAAGCATTTTTATTGCAACGTAAACCATTATTATAATCAGCAAAAACAAACATGATTTTCCTACTAGTTTAGGAACGAAAGCAAAATGCACAAATATTTACAAAATCGAGATCATGAAATTGCAAAGCAGAATAGATCTCGGAGTCAATCAATCGGAGAAGCATTTGGTTGGAGCTCTGCCGATCAATAGCCGTCGAGTCAAGAAAGCCACATGAGACCAAGGGATGCAGCAGAGATGAGTTGCGAGCTAGAATCGAGCGGTTCACTACGGTGGAGATAGATCGGACTTGACCACAAACGGTAGCAAACTTAGATGCTGACCTGCGTACAACGCACCAAGCGAAAACCATGGTCGGTGATTGATTCTCTTTACTTCTTCGGTAATGAAAATGGAGTTTTAAGGGTTTTTAGTTCCAAAGAAGTATTTATTTTCTTACTGCCAAGCGAAATGACTTGGTCTCCAAGCAAACATGTCATTATTTCTAGTCTTTCCTTTTTTAGTGTGAAGTGTTCGAGCTGAATATTAGGGCTAATGAGATTGTATCGTAGCCGTTAAGAGTATGGAATTATAAAATCAACGGATGTGGATTAGGCCCATTAAGATTTAACTAACGGCTGTTGTGTGAGTGAGGCTCATTAATAATATATTGGGCCTTGATTGTAAAATCTAAATGACTTGATGACCCGACCCGTCCGACAAGTTGACCCGACAACTGAAATCATGAAAATCATTTGCTAAAAATCCACCTTCTCGGATCTACCTGCGCGATAATAATCTTAGAGAGGAAGATTCTTGTCTCTTTGATAAATTCTCGGAGTAGGATTCTCTGTCTCTGTCCGGTTTTTTGCAAGTTGAGCTATGTGGAGTTCGGTTGCCAATTTGAAGGAGAATTTGAACAAGATCGCGCACGATGTGCACGACGACGACGAAGATGATGAAGATCTCACCATTTATGGGTCCACCAATGGCGGCAGTGATTTCCTGGACTCTGATCGGAGGAATTCTAATGGATTTAGGTATTCGAGGTCTCCAATGGCCAATGGTGTCGAATCGCCTGTTAATCATGAGGTATTTCTCTTCTCTTCTTCTTCTTCTTCTTGCTCATTCTTGAATCATCTTCTTCCAGTTCCAACGGTATTGGAATGTTGCTTTAACACATGACTGTAGAAGTGTTAGTTAGGTTTTTGTGTGTTAAAACTCTGAGAAATGTAGTTATTTGTTTATTTTTGTATGCTCAATTTTGTAGATTGAGAGATATAAAGCAGAGATCAACAAGCTTCAAGAATCAGAAGCAGAAATCAAAGCTCTTTCAGTAAATTATGCGGCTCTTTTAAAAGAAAAAGAGGTAAAGAATGATCATGGTTTTATCAAGAGTATTGTCATACATCGGTTTCGTGCTCTTTCCTCACTCAGAAGCCACTTGGTTACAGGATCAGATTTCCCGATTGAACCAGGAGAATGGCTCGTTGAAACAGAATTTGACTTCAACTAATGCCGCTCTTAAAGAGTCTAGAATGGATCTTTCCAGGGCATCAAACAATAATGCTATCAAGGTAGAATGTTATATTGTATTTGATGCAACCGATGCTTCTCACCTTAAAACATTAGACTAACTAATAGTCGTTTGTAGGGAAGCGGTGATTATTCACCCAACAAGTCACAAAAATCCCCGACTAATTGGAAAAGTCGAAACCAAATGTACAATGGCATTGCCTCGAAACAAAACGGGACAGAGAATGATTCCGAGTCACATAAAAAAGAAAAGGTATTTCTGTCGTGTAATGTGCCATTTTTAAAAAAGAAAAGCGTTGCATTGTTTGTTTGTTAATTGTTAGATACATGTGTTATGTTGTATCAGAGTTTCAGAACAAAATCTTCAAAATTTAGTTAGATATATCGGGTACTAGGTAAATGACCTTATTCTCTGTAATGAGAGTGCAATAAATTACTCTGGTGTGTGCTTTTTGCTGAACGCGGAACTCTAAGCGACAATCTGAATGCCTTTCAGGAGTTTGCAGATATGCTTGAAGATAGAACCAGGTCAATGGCATCTGCTCAGGCTAGAGAACTTGAGAAAGAGCGAGAAAAATCAGCAAATCTGCAGATTTCACTACAAGGTATATAGTAACACTAGTAGCTTGGCTGATTCTTTATATCTTTCTTATCTGTTATTCTCTAATTTACCTTGCTTTAATCAGAGGAGCGGAAACAAAATGAGTCTTTCAAGGAGGAACTCCAGTCTCTGAGGTTAGATAAGGAAAAAGTAAGTATTTTTGTTACTTAGGCATCACTATTTTTACTTTACAGTATTGTTATCTGATTAATGAGAAGATATTTATTCCAATTGTATGCAGACACTCATGGAGAGTAACAAAGTACGTCGTGAATTGGATGCAAAATTGGCTGAAATCAAACAGCTGCAGATGAAGTTGATTGGTGGGGAGCAGCATGCTGTTGGAATTTCCATAGAAAATCTAAAAGAGGTTAACAAAGCTCTGGAGAAGGAAAATAATGAGCTTAAGGTCGTACAAACTTTTTATTTTCTTAGCAAGAAATTTAGTTGTCCTCTGAGCTCCAGACTCTGAAACTGATTTACATTTCTTTCTGTTGTGTAGTTGAAACGAAGTGAATTAGAGGCTGCTTTGGAAGCAAGCCAGAGGTCAACAAGTAGGAAACTCTTCCCAGAGGGCACAGAGGATCTTAGTAGACATCTTAGTAGTTTGGACAAGGTTCTTTAATGCTAACTTTTGATTCAGTTAGCTCTTTAACCAAAAGAAACATTGTTTATACGCAAAAATGAAGTATGGGGCAAGCATTTATTTATTGTCCCTTCTGCTTTTCCTCATGTATAATTAGGAGAAGCCCGGAAGCTTCCCTGGGAAAGAAGATATGGAGAAATCTTTGCAGAGGCTAGAAAAGGAGTTGGAGGAAGCACGAAGAGAAAAGGATAAGGCACGGCAAGAACTAAAGCGGCTCAAACAACACCTGTTAGAAAAGGTTATTTATCCTGAAGCTAATTTCCTACTTACTAATTACTATATGTTTATTAATTATCCTATAATTGTAACTTTTACGTTGTAATGAATTACTTGTGAGTTGTTGATAATGTTTTCTTG